TCTCTCTGTCCCAACCACACAGCACCTTCCTACTGAATCAAAAAGCTTCTTTATAAATTTACAATCCCTGACAGGGACATAGTACCCAAAGCAAGCTAAACACAGCCTTACTTGTGTTTACTTACTAATCTGTAGAGAACAATTGAATTTACTTACTAATCTGTATTTTTATTGTCCTATGTAAACAATTTCATAAACATACAGGTTTCAGAAGTAAAAGCTGACTCTATGAAGATTTATTCTTGTAACTTGTTAAAAGGAGAGGAAAGGATTACATTTCACTTATTAGAAACTCTTATTTTTAATATCCCAGCTATACTTGTACTGAATAGAACAAGAGGAATAAGAATATTAAGTAGATTTGTAAGTAAGTACAGTTGTTCACCACAGATTTGTAAGTAAGCCCACACTTACCCTGTATACAAGAACTCCACTCCTGTGTAAGGTGGAGCAGGGAGAGACTTCATCCCTGGATGTGAAACTTTATTTACTCCTCTCCAGAAGTGACATGAACCTCCTACTCTCACTGTCAGAGGCCTGGGAACTGGGCCCAGTTCAGGGACAGGTCTCTACCTGCGGGGGGCACTGTTACAGCGCTGATCACTGGGCTCAGTTCAGAAACACTTTACCTGCAGGGGTATCCAGTTCTAGGCAGAGAAGAAATGAAGGACTCCCTCAGAGAGTTCCTGGATGCACATAATTGGGGTGTCTGTCAAGATGGTTTCTGACACTTTTAACAACATGTCATAAGCCATTGAATGCGAAAAACAAATAGAGGAAAAATGATTTGGAAAAATAAAAAAGACTGAAAACTCCGAGGAAGCAGCATCAGTTTCACTGAGGAGGATGTCATGAAAGGAACGCAAACATCATGTGGAGCGAGACTGGAATATACACCGCTGCAATGTGAGCACATTTTTAGTTTAATAAGCAAACTACCTCATCTACCATGACTCACCACTATCCTAGTGACATAGAACTACATTCTAGTGAACTGCAGAGGTGAGGACGACAAGATTGCACATGGATTCAGGGATTAGAGAGAAGGAGATGGAGGAAGGTCCTGAGAAATCAGCTGTTATCAGTCCCTCTAAGGGAAAGCCCAAAGATGAGGAGAGTGCTCACTTGGACCAAATCAAGATGAAAACAAACCCAATGCCATCAAGTTAATTCTGACAAAACCAGCAGGACTCCTCATCGTGTGGCCACACCCTGACTATGTGACTGTGACCCCATTGTTGGGGCCAGGCCTGAGTTTTCCAATCTGTGCGTGAGTCCAGTTCTCGCAGGGTTGCAGGACACGAAAGGAGACGCAGAGTCAGAGAAAATGAAAGCAATCAAGGAATCTCTGCTTAGTTGGCTGATGGGGCTCTCAACAGTCTGTCTTTTTTTCTTTCTGCCCCAACTCAGCAAGTCTTTATATTTATACTTAAAATTACACAGTATATAATGATTTGATACTTTGATTTTTCCTTGAATTATTACACAGTTTTAATCACAACATTCCTTAGCCCTGTGATTAGACAACTGTAACAAAAGTATTTCTGTGATGTCCTAACTGACCTTTCCGTATCCTGTTCATTTTTCAACCATTGAACATTTTCCTTTTGACATCATTTCTCCTACATAAGTGATAAATTGTTTCTTCTTATTCCCACTAAAAAATCAAGTTAAGACTTACACAAATCATTTCCATTTATCAGACCCCCATTACATATTCTTAGTAATATAAGTTTCTATTAATCATCAATGCGTATACTACTTTATTGTTTCTACTAGGTGATTATCAATCTTCTATCCTACATACTGCACTACTATTTTCATAGTAAAAGTATTACTAACATCTACTTAATTATTTTGTTTTTCTAGAGTATTCATTAAGTTGCTTAACTACAGTGTTGCTATGTTTCTTTCTTTTAAGGCTGTGAGGCATAAGGCCCAACCTGGCTAATTGCTGCAGGAAATGTAGATTATTAAATTTAGACCATTTTTCATTTATGCTCACTATTCTCTGCTTATTTACGCAGGTGCCTGTATGTAATAGTGGGGGTTTTTGGATTCTGGCTGGTAATTGATTGTGGCGAGGTCTATAGGGGTCGGTCAGTTTTACTTTAGATTGTTATCTGCTTTTGTGATCTCATAAATGCAGTTACATTGTACTTAGGTTTTCTGTGAACAGGAGTGGCTCATACAATTCCCTTTGAATTCACCCACCGAAGCTGAAACAATTGTTGTCAGACCAGTTTCTTCCCAAGGTCTGCAGAGCTCATAGCAAAAGCTGTGAATATGGCAATATTATATATTTTTACAAGTGAATTCAGAGTTATCCTGAAGAGGAGATAGAGGATGCTCTTCCTGAGAATTATCTGCTTTGCATGATGTCTCTCCTTCTGCCAGGACTGTGTCAAACAGCAGAGGTGGCTGAAACCACTCCCGCAAATCTGCAAACAGTTCAAAGAAAACTGTGGGAAGCTCCACCCCTTCTTACCTTGGCAGGCCTCTTAGGGATGCTTTATCAGAGTCCCCAGAGGGGGAGTAAATTTGCATAAAGGTCAAACAACCCTGGCTCCAAGGAGTCTGAGAAGGAATAAGAGGGTCAGGGCCCCCACCCAGCTATGAACTCAGGAGACTGAGCTCAGTGTCTCCACCATGACCTGGACCCTTCTGCTTCCTCTCCTCACTCTCTGCACAGGTGCTCCTGGCTTCCCCTATCCTCAGGTTCAGCTCCCCAGCCCTGCTTCACACCCTGAGCTCAGCCTAGTCATGGCATCAGGGGGACCTCCTGAGAAGGACCCCTCAGTCTCACACCCTCCTCTCTCTTCTCTCTTGCAGGCTCTGTGGTCTCCTATGAGCTGACTCAAACACCCTCAGTATCAGTGACTCTGGGACAGACGGTCACCCTCAGCTGCTCTGGGGAACTCCTCCCAAAGAAATATGCTTACTGGTACCAGCAGAAGCCAGGCCAGGCCCCTGAGCTTGTCATCTATGAGGACAGTAAACGGCCCTCAGGGATCCCTGAGCGATTCTCTGGTTCCAGTTCAGGTACAACAGCCACTCTGACCATCATCAGCACCCTGGCCGAGGATGAGGCCGACTATTACTGTCAGTCTACTGACAGCAGTAATAATGCTCACGGTGACACAAGCAGATGGGGAAGGAGACACAAACCTTAATCTCCTGTCTGTGTCACCTGCTTTCTCTGAGTCCCAGGAGGACTGAAGTCATGGTTCATTTTACTAGTTCAGAGATCCCCAGGGCGCTCTCTCTCCTGTCCTCTAGGCAGGCTCTGTAGAGAGTATTGACCAGAAACATGGTTTGTGCCAGAGAGATGTGGCCAGTAAGCACACTCCAGAAACAAACAAACGAACAAACTCAGGACCGTGCAGTCAATTCCATGACTCTAAATCTTTCCTGGACTTATCTTTAGTCCAGAGAGTGACTGGTAGGTTTGAACTGCAGACCCAGCAGTCAGCTGTCGAACACCTAACCCACTGCACCATTATGGCTACTTAAGCACATTCCAAGGTAGACTGAAAAAGAGAGTTTATTAGGAGGTCCTGTTTTGGCTCTGTAGGGTAATAATGGACTGCTAACCCCAAGGTTGGTGATTCAAACCTACCAGTTGCTCCTTGAAAATCATATACACAGTCACTATAAATCAGAACTTACTAAATAGGTCACTTAACAACAGCAACAACAAAGAATCCAATAGATTCGATGCCTGATAGAGTGCAGTGTTTAAATTTGTTCATAAATACTTGTCTATACATTCCATTCCCAAAGACAGGGATAGTTTGATCTAAAAGAGGAACAAAGAAAGCTTGCTTAATTAAAGTTCTAAGTTTAATTCAAACAAGTTCCTATTGCAGTTGTAAGTTTTTTCTTTAGAACATGGGAAAAGATGCCAGCTCCAGGTGAATCCAGTTCTTCTTCAAGGCTGACCTCTTTAGGAATCTAGCATCCTCAGTTCCTGGCCCGGTACATTTATTTCAGTAATATTTTATGCACAAAGTCATAAATTGAGTCGTCAGTACATCAGGCATGTGCTTATGGCTAGAAGGGCCAGGCTGTCCTGCTCTTGTCTAGGCTGTGGGTGAGTTGAGGGAAAGTTCTCATAGTCCCTGGATTTCTATATGTGTGGTGGTAGAACACTCTGGTTCACATCTCGGGGATTAACTCCAGGACCCAAAGACCTGGGGATAAAATCTCAAAGCTCTGGCATTCTAAACAGAGGAATCCACTGTAACAGATAGTTTGAACTCTTTGCCCAGTGAATATTCATTCCAGAAATTAAGGCACAATTCAACGTTTTCCAGATATACATAAATCTAGAAATAAACCAAAGCTACTGCCATCAAGTCAATTATGACTCCCAGTGACCCTGTTATTGTTTTGCTATCAAGCGAGTTACTACTCATAACAGCCTTATATAGGGTTTCCAAGGCTGTGAATCTTTGTTGGAGCACAAAGTCTCATCTTTCTCCTATGGAGCAGCTGGTGGGTTTGATTCATTGACATTGCGTCTTGCAATCCAGTGCTTATTGTACAGAGACACCATGGGAAATTATGACCTGAGAGCTTTTAGGAAAGCCCAGAACACACAGATTTATGGTGTTAGTCAAGGTAGTTTTTGAAGCTTTTTGCAAGATCAGATACAATATCATTTTTGAGACTGTAAATTTTTCTAAAGGAAGACAGCCTGATCTTTCTCCCATGGAGGGACTGGTGGATTTGAACTACTGACCTTGTAGTTATCAGTCCAACAATGAACCCCCTACAAAACCAGGGCTCCTTACAAACAACACAGATCTTAAAAGGGAGAAAGAATGAAAATTTGGTCAATGCCAATCCCATGAGAATAGGTGACATCAAAGAGATGCAAACAGACCACACGTGATATGAAACTAGATTATATGTTTAGTCTACCATAGGTTGTCAGTTCATCTAGCAAACTATATTGTATCTGCAAGGATTCACAAATTCCTAAAGACAGTAAGACAGGGAGCCTAGGGTTTTCTTGGAAAGAGTAACTAGGGAAGTAAAGACTTTGTCTCAAGGACAGGAGGTTTCCATTACATTCCCAGTGCTTGGACCAGTGCCTGGGACATACTCAGTTGGTTCTGAGTAAATATTCATTGAGTGACTCTCAGGGTGCATGATTTCTAAGAACTGTTGTCTCGTAGAAGCCCCCTGAAAAGGTACAATGGGCCCCTCTGAGCCCTTATGCACCTCACTCTCAACATCTGCCACTTTACTGCTCCAAGTCTCCCTGAGACATGGAGCCTAAGGAGACTCTTGAAGAGTAGTTGAGAGATTTCAATTTCTATTCTTCCAATTCCTAGAGCTTAGTGTTAATATGCCAATACCATCAGTGCAGGTTGGATTTCTTTCTCAGTACCGTTGATTTTTATCATATGCTTTCTCTTGTGATGGATGAACATGGACAATATTTTTGATACAGTGTCTCTGTGTATGCCTTAAATCTTCTTTTGATGCTTTCTGCATTACTCAAAAAAAATTTTTAAGGTTTTTATTGTGGATTGAGTGAAAGTTTACAGGGCAGATCATCAGTTTTGCATTCAACAAATCATATATCTTGTTTCATTACAAGGATTATAATCCCCTCCATGTACCATTAGTTAACAGTATTTCTCTCTAGTCACTTTAATTAAAAAAAATAATAATAATAACACTCAGGCATATATAATAATGCATTCCGCTTGTGATCATCTTCATTGATGGTCCTAGGGTCCTCCGTTTCTGGACTGTAAGATTAATCACTCCCCTGTTGTTACAAAACTTCTGCATTTACAATTGTGATAGTCACTATTAGTCATGATAACAATTATTTATCATTGAATCATACAAATCTTATCCCCATCTCTTTTCACCATACCCATCTAAACAAGATGAAAACTAATAATGGGGACTCTGTCTTCCCGCCATTGCCCCTACTCTTAAACTAAACTCCCTCTTGAAAACTTGTAAGCCAGTCACTTCCTGACTTTATTGCCCCCACATTTTAGGTAGCCAGTGTCTAAGTTGCCTGACCCTATCTACAATGTATACATACAGAGGGGATAGCATATACTTGATGTGAAGACTCCTTCTTTCTGTTGGTATTTTGAGCTTCTACCTCCATAAGTATAGGTCAGGTTTATCAAATTGTAGCCATTTAACCTTGTTTCCTTTATCAAAAAAAAATTTTTTTTTTTTTTAAATCTTCCTATACTTGACTTCTGAATTATCAAGCTATCAAGACTAGGTCAAATGGGTACTATCTGCAAGTTCGGGTGTTCTTGTTCAGTAAAAGCTTTTCTTAATAAAAGAAACACTCTCTGATGGTTACAGGGGAAAGAGAGGAGAGAAATTATTCATGGGTTAAATGGTTGTTGTTGTTGTTGCTATTTTCAAATGTTGTCAAGTCAGTTCCCCCCCCCCCCATAGTGAGTCTGTATAGGGTCTCTAAAGAGCGGCTGGCAAGCTCGAACTGCTGATCTTGCAGGTCAAACTTATGTTGTATCCCAGCACATTAACACACAGCCCACACCAGAATTCCTATTAAGATGGGCAGGCAATATACCACAAGAAGTAAGTTAGAGGAAAGATGAAGGTAATGGGACACACAGGGAGGACTGCAATAGTAAAGTGAATAGAAGTAAGTATTGTTAACTGAGATGGTGCATGGAAGGGATTGCAATCATTGTAAGAAACAATGTATATGATCTGCTGAATATAAAACTGGTGATCTGCTCTGTACACCTAATTCACAATAATAATTTTTAAAAAGAAAAGGTTTTCTTAAAAAGAAACAATATATGATGGCTATGGGAGGAAAGGATGGAGGAGAAATTATTCACAGGCTAGAGATAGACACATGTCAACATGGGAAACAGCGTAGGCAATATATAACAGAGAGAGGTTCCCAGAAGAAAGATGAAGGTAGCAGGAAACACAGGGAAGAATACAATAATAAAAGTGAATAGAGGCAAATACTGTTAACTGATGGTACATGGAAGGGATTGAAATTGTAATCAAGCAAAATATATGATTTGCCAAATGTAAAATTGATGATCTGCTCTGTAAACTTTCACTCAATGCACAATAAAAAATTGAAAAAGAAAATACAGTGGGGCACAACACAGCTCCAACACACATGGGATCCTTATGATTCAGAGTCAACTCAAGAGTAACTCTTGGTGTCCCTGGTCTAGAATATCTCTGCTGAGAGGCACTTTGGAATCCACGAGTAGAAGACAGCACACTGCAGCCAGGTGCCTCCCAGAGAGAGACAAGAGCTGACTGAGTGAAGCCCAGGCAGCTGGGAAAACAGCTTGAGCAGGAGAGAAAACAGGGTCAAGGTTGTCATAGGTATGGAAGCTCAGGACACTCTAACCTATCCCCTCAGCTAGGGACCATAAGCAACAGTCTCAGGACCCTGATTGGGAGAACAAACACAATGAGTCCTTCCTTACCTGTAAATGAGGTGGGAGAACCTGGTCCAGGTATATAACTCCTGCAGGGTTGAGGGTCACTCAGGAGACACACCTGAGCTTGAGGGGGTCAGCACAGTGAGAGTTAGGGCTCCCAGGGTCTGTTATTCCCTGAGGACAGGTGCTGAGCCTCTTTTTCATTCTTAGGACATAATCCCCTCACTGTCCATCAGAGGTCCAAGGGAAGCTGACCTCTGACCTAGGCATTTCCAGAGACCTTGACCTCCCTCGCCTTTGTCTCTCCTCCCACCTCCAGAACAATTCTGCCTCCAGATGACCCCACAGGACTGCACTTCATGTTCAGGTCCAGTCTCAGGTTGGTGACCAAGGACAGATTAGCCAACTATCTGTAGTGAACATCATGACATCATTTTCACTACATTCAAAATTCTGCTACTAGGTCTGGCTGGCACCTCTCTCTGTCCCAACTACACTACACCTTCCTACTGAATCAAGGCTTCTTTATAAATTTACAATCCCTGACAGGGACATGGTACCCAAAGCAAGCTAAACACAGCCTTACTTGTGTTTACTTACTAATCTGTAGAGAACAACTGAATTTACTTACTAATCTGTATTTTTATTGTCCTTTGTAAATAGTTTCAGAAACATACAGGTTTCAGAAGTACAAGCTGACTCTATGAAGATTTATTCTTGTAACTTGTTAAAAGGAAAGGATTACATTTCACTTATAAGAAACTCTTATTTTTAATATCACAGCTATACTTGTACTAAATAGAACAAGAGGAATAAGAATATTAACTAGATTTGTAAGTAAGTACAGTTGTTCACCACAGATTTGTAAGTAAGCCCAAACTTACCCTGTATACAAGAACTCCACTCCTGTGTAAGGTGGAGCAGGGAGAGACTTCATCCCTGGATGTGAAACTTCATTGACTCCTCTCCACAAGTGACATGAACCTCCCACTCTCACTGTCAGAGGCCTGAGAACTGGGCCCAGTTAAGGGACAGGTCTCTACCTGCAGGGGGCATTGTTACAGCACTGATCACTGGGCTCAGTTCATAAACAACCACTTGACCTACAGGGGTTATTGATGGTCTATTCACTAGTATCCAGTTCTAGGCAGAGAAAAAATAAAGGACTCCCTCAGAGGGTTCCTGGATGCACATAATTGGGGTGTCTGTCAAGATGGTTTCTGACACTTTAAAAAATATGTCATAATACATTGAATGCAAAAAACAAATAGAGGAAAAATGATTTCGAAAAAAACAAAAAAACAAAACAAAAAAAACCGAGTGAAAACTCCGAGGGAGCAGTGTCAGTGTCATTGAGGAGGATATCATGGAAGGAACACACTCATCATGTGGAGCAGGACTGGACTATACACCGCTGCAACACAATCACATTGTTGGTTTAATAAGCAAACTACCTCATCTGCCACAACTCACAACAATCCTAATGACATAGAACTACAGTCTAGAGAACTGCAGAGGTGAGGACAACAAGACTGCATGTGGATTCAGGGATTAGAGAGATGAAGGAGGTGGAGGAAGGTCCTGAGGAATCAGCTGTTATCAGCCTCTCTAAGGGAGAGCTCAGAGGAGAGGAGAGTGATCACTTGGACCAAATCAAGATAAAAACAAACCCACTGCCATCAAGTCAATTCTGACAAAGCCAGCAGGACTCCTCATCATGTGGCCACACCCTGACAATGTGACTGTGACCTCAATTCTTGGCGTCAGGCCTGAGTTTTCCAATCTGCAAACAGTTCAAAGAAAACTGTGGGAATCTCCACCCCTTTTTGCCTTGGCAGGCCTCTTGTTGTTGTTAAGTGCCATCGAGTCGGATCCGACCCATAGCGACCCTGTACGGGGTTTCCGAGGCTGTGAATCTTTACGGGAGCAGAACGCCTAATCTTTCTCCCGCGGAGCTGCTAGTAGATTCGAACTGCTGGCCTTAAGATTCGCAGCCTGATTCTTAACCACTATGCTACCAGAGGCCTCTTGAGGGATGCTTTATCAGAGTCACCAAGAGGGAGTAAATTTGCATAAAGTTCAAACAACCCTGGCTCCAAGGGACTGTGAAGGAATAAGAAAGACAGGGTCCCCAGGCAGCTGTGAACTCAGGAGACTGAGCTCAGTGTCTCCACCATGACCTGGACCCTTCTGCTTCCCCTCCTCACTCTCTGCACAGGTGCTCCTGGCTTCCCCTGTCCTCAGGCTCAGCCCCCCAGCCCTGCTTCACACCCTGAGCTCAGCCCAGTCATGGCATCAGGAGGACCTCCTGGGAAGGACCCCTCAGTCTCACACCCTCCTCTCTCTCCTCTCTTGCAGGCTCTGTGGTCTCCTATGAGCTGACTCAAAAACCCTCAGTGTCAGTGACCCTGGGACAGACAGCCACCATCAGCTGCTCTGGAGAAAAGCTCTCAGAGAGATATGCTCACTGGTACCAGCAGAAGTCAGGCCAGGCCCCTGTGCTTGTCATCTATAAAGACAGCGAACGGCCCTCAGGGATCCCTGACCGATTCTCTGGTTCCAGTGAAGGAACAACAGCTACTCTGACCATCAGCAGCACCCAAGCTGATGATGAGGCCGACTATTACTGTCAGCAGTGGCACAGTGGTAGTAATGCTCACAGTGACACAAGCAGATGGGGGGTGAAGACACAAACCCTGATGGCTTATCTGTGTCACCTGCTCTTAGTCCCAGGAGGACTGAAGACATGGTCCAGTTCCCCATACCAGAGATCCCCAGGACGTTCCCCTCCTGCCCTCTATGAAGGTTCTGCAGAGAGTGTTTGACCAGAGACCAGGTTTGTGCCGCAGAGAGATGTGGCCAATAAGCACACTCTAAAACAAACATATGAATTCAGGGCCATGCAGTCAATTCCAAGACTCTAAATGGTCCCAGGAGTAGATAAACTCATCTTTTTCCCAAAGAGTGATCGGTGAGTTTGAACAGCCGACCTGGCAGTCAGCAGTGCAACACCTGACCCACAGTGCCTTCAGGGCTCCTTAAGTATATTACATCTTTGAAAATCTAGCATTCTCAGATCCTGGGCAGGCATGTTATTTAAATTTTTTTATGCACCAAGTCGAGTCATCACCACAGTTGTCAGTACATCAGAAGTGGATTTGCGGCTAGAAGGTCCTGGCTATCCTGCTCTTGTCTAGGCAGTGGGTGAGTTGAGGGAAAGTGTTCATGGTACCTGAATTTCTGTATGTATGGTCCACCTCTTTGGAGTAAGTCTAGAACCCTAAATGTTGGCATAAGACCACAAATCCCCAGGCTTTGATTTCTGACATTCTAAACAAAGGAATGCATTCTGATAGAGAGTTTGAACTCTTAGCCCAGTGAACATGTCTTTCAGAAACGAAGGCATAATACAATGTGTTCCAGTCATACACAAACCTAGAAACAAAACAAACCCACTGCCATCAAGTCAATTATGACACCTAGTGACACTGTTATTGTGGTTGTTAAAGGTTATCAAGTCAGTTCCTACTCATAGTGACCCTGTATAGGGTTTCCAAGGTTGTAAATCTTTGTGGGAGCAGAGAGCATCGTCTTTCTCCCATGGAACAGCTGGTGGGTTCTATTCACGGACACTGTGGCTCACACTCTGGTGCTTATCATACAGAACCACCATGATCCTATAGGACAGAATAAAATTGCTGCTGTGAGTGTCTGAGACTGGAAATCTTTACAGGAGCAGATAGCTTCATCTTTCTCCATAGGAGTGTCTGGTGGTTTGAACTGCTGACTTTGCAGTCAGCAGCCCAACACGTAAATCACAGCACAGGATGGGAACTGAACTTCCTGGTCCAGAGCCTCTCTTATTCTTTGGAGTCACCAGAATGAGGAAGTTCCTGGTCTGAGTCTCCTCAACCAGTTGTTGTTGTTGTTAAGTGCCATTGAGATGATTCTGACCCATAGTGACCCTGTATAGGGTTTCCAAGGAGCAGCTGGTGAGCTTCAACAACCAAACTTGCAGTTCAAATGACTTTGCAGTCTGACGCATTAGGAGGCAGCAAAATTGCAGTCTGAATGGATATTAGCACTGCCCAGATGAAGCCTAAAACAGGACCACAGGTGTTCCAGGTTCTGTCCTCAGAATGGAAGGTCAGGACACTCCACTGTAACCAGAGGGGTCACAGTGACTGCCTTTTGACGTTATTGTCAGGCTGAGTCTTACAATTCTTACCTGGAGTCCAGGTACAATGAATTCTAATCTGGGAAATGAGCTGGGGATGTCTGTTCCAAATAGGATATGGGAACTCCCACAAAATTGAGATCTCTTGGGAGAACACTGCTAGGTTGAGGTGCTCTATGGGAGACACAGTGTCAAAGAATAGGGATCTATAGAGCCCATATCTTTCCTCCAGAACAGTTGCTTGAGATTTTGCCATTTTCAGTACTGCACCATCTGAACAGCCCTCAGTGTTTCCCAAGGCTGAGTGCTGGTCCACTGTACCATGGGGGTGAGCCACTCTACTATACTTGTCCTGGCCTTCCTCATGATCTGTGAGAACATGACACTGGTAGAGGCCATCAGGGAGGTGCAGGCCCACCACAATATCTGTCCCAACTCAGGCCCCAGGTCATGGACAACTGACTGGGGCGGGAGACAGGGCTATTGTGACCTGCCAGGCAGTCAGGAACCCTGACCCTTCAGCTAGCATGGCCCCATCCAACCATCCTGGCCCTAGGGACAGCAGCCGCTATTATTTCTGGTCATCCTGAGGTGTAAATAGCATGTGAAGGCTTCCGGGAGGCAGAGGCAGGGATTGCTCCATGGTGACCTTTATCCAGGGGATTTCCCTGACCCAGTCCAGAGATTCTTTATGCAAAAGAGACAAAAGAGAGTTCCATCTATCTCTATAAAGAAGGGATGATCAAAAAAGAAGTTATTACATCTTTTCTTCTGCTTCTCATTACCTCTCTTCTGCACTGCCCCCTCCCCTGGGCTTGATTTTTTAAATAATACTCTTTCTTTTCATCTCCCCTCTAACTAGTTTTATAAGTATTTCAATTTTTTTCTTATTTAGTTTCCTCTCTCATTTTTTTCTTCTCTAGTTCCATTTTCCTGTCTCTCCTTTCTCTTTCTAGCTATTGTTAAGTATTTTTTTTTCTTTCCTTTCTTGTACCTTGTCTCTTGCTTTTCTCTTCTATAGTTTCATTTCACTGCCCCTCGTTTGTCCTTATACATATTATTCTTTTTTTTCTGGGTTACTGACTGCTCTTATTTCTTTTTTCTCTTTATTATTTTCTCTTTTCATTGGTGGTTCCTTTTTTTATTTTTATTGTTTTGTGTTCTTGCATATGGTAGGGAAAATATTTTCTCTTTCACATGTGACAGGAGACAGCAACCATGCCCATATAGCCCAGCCACAATCATATTGCCTATAGCTCTATCCATAAGAAAGAGCAGGTATCAGCTCCTACATCACCTGTTCAATGATAGACAGAAGCCAACTTCAGTCAATCTCACCCTAAACCAATCGTGAACAAGAACAAGAACAGTGTACACATTCCCGTTTGCCAACTACATCCACAAGAGATTACAGTACATGAGGGCTGAACAAAAATCAACACATTATCATCAATTAAATACAAATATGATAACCCCATAGTGTTCCAAAGACAACATTGAATTTTAGCTCACATGAAGAAACAAGAAAGAATGTCTCAAACAAAAGACTAAGATGCAAAATCAAAAAAAATATTCAAAGGAATAAAAAGTAATAGAATTAACTGAAAAAGAATTTAAAAGAATGATATTTAGGTACCTTCAAAGAACTGACAGAAAAGTCAAGGAAAATAAAGAGAACACAGAAACAACTTTAGAAGAATTCAGGAAAGCACAACTAGAACAAACAGACAAAATAAATGAAAAATTTGAAACAATTTAACTAGTCAACCTGCCCCTAGCTCTCCTGTGGTTAAAATTCCAGAAGATTAGTACTAAGATTTCAGAAATGGACAATACATAAAAGGAAAAAGAGTAGATTCAAAGCAATGGAAGCCCAAATTAGTGAGCATGAATATAAAAGTCTCAGTGATGATATGCTAGAAAACAATCAGAAAAAAAATGTAAGAATCCAAAAAGTCTAAGAATATTGTGGGACACCATGAAGAAGAACAATTTATAGGTGATTTGTATTCCAGAACAGGAAGAGACATAAAAAGTACAGAGAATTTTTTTGAAGAGTTGTTGAGAAAAACTTCCCTAACTCTTGAAAAACGAGTAGCTAAGCATACAAGAAGATGAATTAACCCCAATAGAATAGATCTCCAAAGAAAATCACCAAGACGTATCATAATCAAACTTGCAAACCAAATGCAAGGAAAGAATCCTGAGATGAGCTCAGGAAAAATGAAAAGTTATCTACAAAGAGAATTCATAAGACTAAACTCTGATTTCTCAGCAGAAACCAGGCAGGCAAGAAGGCAATGGAGTGGCATACACAAATCTTGGAAAGAAAAAAAATGCCAACCAAGAATCATATACCCAACAAAGTTGTCCCTCAAATATGACCTCAAAATTGGGATGTTTTCTGTTAAACAGAAATTAACAGAATTTGTAATGACAAGACTAACTTTAAAAGTTTCTATGGGGTATTTTTTTTTTTTTTTACAAGCATAGATCATATTATTATGCTTCACTTCATTGCTTTTTGTAGATATTACATTTAAAAAAAATGTTTTATTGTGGATTATGTAACAGTTTACATGGGAGAACATTGGTTTTACATTCGTTCTATCGTATATCGTCCCATTGTCATGGTTACAATCCCCTCCATGCAATCCTTCCCCCATGCCCCCCAGGTCTTCAGCACACAGTCGCTCTCCCTCTCTGGATCTAAAGTGAGGTATTCTTAGAACTGAGAACTCATAACATCAGTCAACAACCTGAGATTAACATACTTGACAACAACACCCAGCACTCAATCCAAATATAGAAGTTTTTAAAGGAAAAACAAACTTTACAAGATGGCAAATATGGGAAATGGATATTGGTTTGTAATGATGTCAACTACAAAGACCAAGGAAGGAATAGTGTAAATACAGAATTTCCAAATGGCAAAGAAGTCAAAGAGATTTCAAGATAAAACAGACTGTTTTAAATGGAGAAATTTTTTAATAAGTGATTGGGTAACCTGTAATTTACAGTGAATATTAGTAGACCAGTACATCTAATATTCTAATAAAATTAGTACATCTAATAAAAATAAAAAAGAGAAAAGTAAGAAAGATTGAGTAATCATTACATAACAGAAAAGAAAATAGAACCCACAAAGAAGATGAACTCAGCACAGAAAATTATGTAGAACAAAGAAAACCGCAGCACAGACACATAAAAAGGAAAGAAAGAAAAGGAAAACAATCAATTAATACCTATTGAAAATTTCACTGATTAATGGCACTAGTCAAGGGACAGAGCAGAATGGATTAGAAAGCAAGATCCTTCAAAATGCAATCATACTAAAAGAATGCAGAGAAACTAAGTGTCCATCAATGGAAGGATGGATAAACAGATTTTGGTCCATATACACATGGAATGCTAATCAATGTTGAATACTGTCGAGGAATCTGCAAAACAAATTACTACATGCATGATC